AGAATATTTATTATCAATAATTAAAACCGTCATTTTATTTTCAGTCATCAGGACCTAATTTGTTTTTAAGTTAAAAGTTGTTATAAAAACAAGCTACACGAAGAAAAGGAAAAATAAATTGAAAACGATATATGTATAACTTAATAATGGAAATAAATGCATGATGAAATATGTAATAAATGTAGTTTATTTTAGAACTTTTGGTTTAAACTTTAACACTTACCAATTACAATAAATCGAAAGACAAAATACTTTTGAAAATGATTTTGCAAAAATTAATAAAGATGAAAAATTAAACGATTGTTACTGTTGCAACTTCAATGCAACAAATATAACTTTTATCAGGACCGTAATAAATTTATTTTTATTATATTTCCTGATCCAATTCTCACAGACATTACTAGTGGCTGAATATCTGTCAGATGGTGACAAAGAGACAATTCTATCCGTAATATCAACCAACATAAATCACCCTTAGTTAGTGAAATTACTATTTTAGTAGGACCATCAAAACGATAATATCATTTCTGAACAGAATCCTCCATACAGAAGGGCCCACCCCAAAATACATATTTCATATATGAGCGCGTCGGGGCCCCAGTAAAAAGTTATTTGATTAAAAGGCATCCAGCCGAAAGGACAACAAAAAGAAGCATCATGAAAGTCGTATCACGATACAGCCGGGACGTCCCACCGCCGTTTTTCACTGTGGACCTTAACAACTCGCGAAGATTTATCGCCGACCTGAATTCGCAGTCGAGGGTTAATTCAGTTGAATGTGCCTCTAGGCTAATGCGCGAATTTTAAGAGTCCGCTCGGTTGAAGGATTCTATAATCCTGAAATATTACACGCTCCATGCACAGAAACAAATCGCCGACTATTCAGAGATTAATTTTTACTACACTTTCCAATTTAAAAAGAATTAACAACGACGAGAAAAAACGTCTCTCTATCGCCATCGCCTGTCTCGAGACACTAAAGACCTCCCAGATAAATTGCCGATATAAGAACAGACTTTTTTTTATAGAAAATAAATTACAAATTTTCGCTATACTTTCAAATCAAGCCAAGTTACCCTAACTGCTCAATAGTCCCTCCGACCGACCGAGACATCTTGCATTCCAACAAAATCATAAAGGATGTGTCAAAGCCACTATGATAAGCAGAAGGACCCAAGGACAAAAAGATTTCACGCTATTTCGAATCTCACCACGCGAGGCAACGAGAAGCCAATCTCATGGAGTCTACGAGGAGGGCATTTGAACGTCGATCCAGGGGATGCGCAGTTAATTATCCAGAACTAAGTTCTTGATAAGACCGCGAGATCAGCTCCAGAGCTCCATAGTACTTTTTACGTATTTAAACTACCGCCATAGGGAGCAGGCGATTATGAAATTTACATAAACTAGATACTGGTTAAATCAAATAAATGAAATATCTGAAAGGTTATTTTTTCGTATAAAAAAGAAAGTCATTTAAGTTTCATCCGCGGGACAGGGTAACATGTACGAAAAATATGTTGGTCTGGAACTACAATTCTTATATTCCGTTTGAAAAATTTTGCTTTTTAGCATAAACTCGTTTGATCGTTAAAATTATCAATTATTTTAAGACACTTAAAGGCTTGCTACACGTTTGGTCTCGGGATTGGTCGGGATAATTTATTGATTTGCAACATTTAAACTCCGGCCGATTAGCCGTTGCTGTGTAACTGTGATTCATATTCGCCACACATATAAATGCAGTCGCGTGACTGCTGAAACGGTTAATAACCGTCTTGAAATATGTATTTTATAAACCACCTGTGCCTTGCTTTTACTCGCGCAACACACACAACAATTAAGCACACAAAAACGATAACAATCTGTAATCGTGAGCACATTTAGGCGGCTTTTGGATCAATCGAATTCTGCGTATTTATATTCCACGTAAAAACAAAAAAAAAAAGGATTTGTAAGCGCTGTTATTCTTTGAATGAAATCTTGCAGGAGCATTTATAAAAGGTGCGAACACATCAAAAGTATTTAAATATCTTGTGATAAGTTACCACATTTTTAATCTTCAGACGGTTCAGATAAAATAAGGTTTCTTGGTATACCATATGACATGTTCAAGTTATGAAGACAAATTTTATATTTGCCTTCAACATTTGAAACAATTCGGAAATTCTCCTTAATTATGTACATAAAGAAACAATTAGTCGAAATCCTGGGAAATTTTGCTGTTTAGGGGACTCAAAATATAATTTCCTTATGCATAATTTTGCAAACTATGAAATATGAAATTAATATTATAAATGTGGCCATTATTATATATGACCCTGCTCAAAATATTTCACAATAAATTCAAGAGAAAGCAACTCTGTAATATATCTTAAACTATACATTACAAAATCCTGTATGAAACAAGAATTAGTCATTGGGACATAAAATATTCTAAGAGTATTGTCTGAAATTTGACAACATTAACCATCTTAATTGCCACTGTCAAAATTAGCTACGGATTCACAATTGCCGAGACATCTACAGAAAGGAATGGGAAATAATAAAACCTGAAAATCAATACAGCTAGAAGGAGGAGTCATAATTTAGAATGCCATCTATCGGTCCCAAACAGCACTATAAAGGTCATTCACGGCCGATTAGAGGTTATCTGTTGTTGCTGTTCCGTGGTTTACATTAACATTTTTTAATTTATAATCAACAATCTTAATTAAAAAATGCATATACCAATAATATGTCTCTAAACTTCAGTGAGTGGCATAAAACTGACGGTAATTTTGAATAAAATTGCGAAAATATATCAAGTTTCAAATTTCAAATCTGAAAGTACATAGTTCCTATCAATTTAGAAAAATAAATTGATTTAGTTTCAAAACTATGCCTATTTTATCCATAGGGCAAAAATAAAGAACAAGAAATGTGCAGGATGTGCACATTTTGCCGTTTTTAGAATATGATGAACAGAATTGAAGATATTAAACTGACGATATTGCGGGAAACAACTATTCTGCGTACTAATGTCACAAGTAGCATTAAATTATAGTAAACAGCCTAAGACCCACCATTATATACTTTTGAACGTATGGCACAGGTGACGAAAACAATCAATGATCCAGTCATTTTTTAATGTCTTAAATACATACATGGAGTGAATATAAGTGAGATGTAACAATGCTACATTTATGGTCACTGCTACTTAATACCTAGACCTTCAAATGACCTAACTAAGACAGAGTGAATTGTTATTTCGCAGGTACTATGAAAATGATATGAAACAACTACTCTGCAGACTAATGCCCTGAACACTGACCACAGCACTGAATTAAAAGTAAAGGAATTGCATGATTTTTAAGAAAAATTAAACAGTGAAAACCATGTTCAAATCTGGTTTAGGTACATGAAAGTCAAGTGTTTTTCATAAAAGGGCATATTGACTGAATAATTGTGAATTTTTTTTATTTTCGTGATACGTTTTTTATACATTTGTATGGCGTAAAATTCAATAAAGATTTTTTCTGTAGTTCTCGGTTTTTTTAGTTATACAGAGTGCTTTAGACATAAAAATAAATAGTTTTTGCAGAAATAAGACTGACACTTCGATAACACACGCCGACAAGATTTTAAACCAACAACACGAATATACTTGCCAAAAGGATTTTGGTGCACTGGATTCGAATCCGAGGTTCAAATATCTCAACTAGTTTTCGAAATATCCTAACCTAAAAGTGCCAAAATCGCGATTTTTTGACATATTTGAAGTTACGTTACATGGAAAAATTATTTTATTTTGCTGAAACTATTAACGGGGTCTTAAAGTGATATACTTACTCTTTAAAAAGCAGTTGAATTTATCCCGATATCATTTTTTGTCTTCTGGGTTAATGGTTTATGGGTTTATGGGTCTATGGGCTAAGTATTTTTGGGCTTAAAGTTTATGAGTTCGGGATTAAGCGTATTAGCCTCTTTTGTCTGTAAATGTCTTTCCAGACTGATATAATGCGTAAAATATCGGCCATATATCTGAATTTTTAGACATTTTTTTAAGTATTGCAAAATTTGACATGATAGAGTATTTTGGAGTTCAGATTCATGATCAGCAACCCCAAAAACATGTAGGATATGCCTACTTCCGGATGCCCATGAGTTTGGTTTGTGGTGCTATGTTGTCCGTAATTAAAAAATCGAGAAATAAGTCAAACTACTAAATTTCAACATGCGATTTCTCAAAGACGAAAAATGATATCAGGATAAATCCAAGTGTATTTTAAAAAGTAAGTATAGTATCTTAAGACCCCATTAATGGTTTCAGCAAAAAAATTTACCTTTCCATATAAGATAACCTCAAATGTCAAAAAATCGCGATTTTGGCACTTTTAGGTTAGGATATCTCAAAAACCAGAGTCAACTGAGAAATTTGGCCTTCAGATTCGAATTAGAGCATCAAAATCCTTCGGAAAAGTACATTCTGGTTTCTGGGTCAGGCAAATTTTGTCAGCCTGTGTAATCTTCCTTGTTAGTATAACATAGAGAATACAATTATTTTTGTCAAACTAAGAGAAAAAAATATAAAAAAGTGGAGTACCAAAACAACAAAACAATATTTTGCAATTTTTTTAGTACATTATTAATTTTCCATGCTTTTTTTTTTTTTTTGTCATCTCTTATCAAGCTTTAACCATTTAAAAATTAATTATAACGTTGCAAATTTTAAGAAATATCTTTAATGCAGGAAAATATTTTATGGTATAATTTTTCTAAATAAATATAATAAAAAGAAAATAGTTTTAAAATACTTTCAATTGTATGTTTACGTTTTTTTTTGTCTTAGTTTAAATGAAATTTCAAACGGTATCAACGTATTACGAATTTTTAGATATTTATCTTTGCCTACAAAAATATGTCTTAGTAGCGACTTTATTAATTTATTCTGTAAATTAATTCCAATAACGTAAATGTTTTATGCACGTTTTCATATAAAAAATAAAAGTTAGACTCACCGAAGCAATCACTCCTCCCACAATAGCAGCATTCCTCTTGTGCTTGTTTGCTGCCTTATATCTTGTATACAACTTCCTACCAACCCACACTGGAATGCCTAAAAAAATTTCGAATACCAATAAAGGTGAACCGTACAATTCCAATAATTATTAAAATGCATTGAATAAATATCGGTGAGAAATAAAAAACTTTGCATTTTTTATCGTTTCTGCTCACCTATTATCATAGCAGGGACGGTGATGCCTGCCACCAAAGCTATACCAACAGGAGCACCCACCAACGTTCCCAGTTGCCAGAGAATTTTCTTTTTTCTCGACCACGGCTTCTTACCCCAGAAGGTACAACCAGATGGACTGAAAACAAGAGCAATTCATCAAAATAAAATAAAAAAATGTGTGAAGATAGATCTAACAATATTTTGAAAATAATATTTAATTATTCTTTCTTTGATTTAGCAAAAAATTATACAGTCAAATTTTATCAAAAATCAGCAAGGAAAAACCAGTACGGTTAAATTGTGCTATTCCGAGAGCATGGTTTGATTGATATGTTGTTAGAATTAGGCAAAACCAATCACGATAAAGAACTAAAGAAATGTTACATGTATTGTATGTATTGTTAATGCTACCATGCAAAATGTTAGAAAACCATTCAATTCCAAACCACCACTTGAACCACCACCAAAAGTGTATACAGAAATTTTGATAAAAATGACAATATAGAATTTTCTGGAAATAAATGGAAAAAATTTAGAGTAATAACATCAAATCTTAGAAGATGAACTCCATGGTCCATACCCATCATCTTTTCTTTATGAGATAAATGATATCAAAGATAATTTTTTTTTTTGAAATTTTAGCCAAATTTGACAAAGATAAAGTTGTGATGGTACTAAATACACCGTTGTTGTTAGTTTTGACTATCTGCTAGAGGTCACTAGCTACAATCTCTAGTAGACTTCTTACAAGGTATGTTGAATATTATAAGATAAAATGTCATTTAACACAAAAAAGTACTGCTGTTAAAATCACAGAAAACATACCACTGTAAAAAAAATTTCAAAGTCAGCCAACTTATATTTAAGGCACCACATTTCAGTTTGAAAGCAGGGGCGTCCGCACATAGATTACCTAGTGCGTTTGTTATTCGATAGAGTGGACTGTATAAACATTTATGCTGATTTGAACAATTTTCTTTACTTCCTGAATATTGTACAACTAAACAAGTAGATTAACAGAATTTAAAAAAACATATCATTTTAATTTGATTTTTCAACAACTTTTTTTGTTTTTGTGTTGCTCTGCGACCGTCTCTATACAAACTTAGATTAGTGCTGGCAACTGAAATCGGTTTTTTGGATAGTTGGTTAACCGGTTTCGGATAATTCGGATTTTTATGAAATCCGAAAACTGGTGACTCGGTTATTCGATTCTTCAAATATCCGAAAACCGGTTATTTGGTTATCCGAATCTTCAAATATCCGATTATTCAAATAACCGATTATTCGATGATCTACTTCCTTTTTTTTTTTAGACATCGATTTCTCCGATTGCAATTGACCTTTTTTTTTAGACAATTTCTCCGAGCCTGTCTTTGTAAAGCACCGATTTTCAGATATCCGGTTTTGGCGATTCAAGTAACGGGTTATTCGAATAACCGGTTTTAGCAACTATTCGACTAACCGGTTTTTTCTGAAATCGGTTTTTACGGAACCCGGTTAACCGGTTTCACTTTTTTCCGGTTTTTGCCAGCACTAACTTAGATCATATAAAATGTATTAACATACAAAATACTTTGCCAGCGTTTATAATAAATAATTTTATAATATCGTGGAACGATTACCGGTTCCGTATTAAAAATATAAATGAGCTCTCGCAAATATCTGGAACATTACATATGTCTCCACAGTATATTCTTTAAGTGATGTCCGCAACGGAGAAAACATTTTTTTATACCAGGTGTTCAAAAAGTTTGGAACCCCACCCCCCTCTATCTCAGAAAATACTGCCCAAACAAAAAAATGATTAGGACAGAAGTTGCAGGGTTTTGAGTGAGCAATCCAGCAATCCAACGGTGACCTTGACCATGACCTTGAAGGTCATTTAGAGGGCAAGTTGAAAATTTTAAATTCAACCGTATATTTTTGATCCCGGAAATAGAAACAATGGAAATTTTTACGTTCGGATATGACCCTGACCTTCAAGGTCATTTAGATATCAAGTTTAAAATTTTAAATGGGACCGTATACTTTTTTGCCATTAAATGTTTTTCGTAAGAGCATTATTACTCAAGTTCTTTGCTTAAGTTTGATGTTACAGTTACCTTTAGGTCATGGTCAAAGACATGGTATAGGTCATTTTTTGATTTTAAGCTCACTCAATTTCCGCAATCAAGAATATCAGGTCATTTATTAAAAATCGACTTGACCGGTAAACGACCTTGAAGGTCCTGGTCAAGGTCACTGTCAAATTGCTCACTCAAAACCCTGCAACTTTTGTCCTAATCATTTGTTTGTTCGAGCAGTATTTTCTGAGATAGAGGGGAGTTGCAAGCTTTTTGAACACCCGGTTTAACGAAAACGATTGGTCGACATCTAATGACGTTATAGGAGCATATTTGAAGTAATCTCTAAAAATGAATCCATGGGAGCACAATTACTATCGATGTGTCTTAATCTGGAGAAATCTGGATTTTTTCTTAAAATATTGTCAAACTTGTCTCTGACGCAAACACTTTTCTCGTCACTTAAGGCATATAGCACTGTTTGTATGTCATCTACTATTACCAGTGATTCATCTAACGATAATGCAGTATTTTGTAAGTTCCTTCTTTTTAGCATACCGCAATTGGAATGTAATTGTTGTAAATTTTTTTCAACTGTGCTTCAACTCGACTGTCATGAAATTTTATTTAGCTCTTTCGAATAGCAGTGTATTCTTTGGCATCGAATTGTAAAATTACGGATTTTATTTTATGAAAATGTTTAAAATAATGAAATGATGCCTCGAACCATGTCCCCCATCATGTAAGAATGGGTTGCGGAGGTTATGAAATGCCAGGACACTGTTGGTGGAATTGACAAATACGTTTCAAGAATTTGAGAAACACTGCCTTGGTCTGTGCTATTAATTCATCTACATTTGGGTAATATCGACGAATTGTTCCTGTTACAAGATATAATGCGTGCAGAAACAGTTGTTTGTTAGTACTTAATTTCGACATACCTATGTATTTATTGTCGATTCCGGTTTTATTTACATTGTAATATACGTAAAAAAACATAAGCTCAAAAAAAATTGTCATGTCACTGGGAAAGATAGATACTCAAAAATTAACAGTAATATATTTAGCACCATCAAAAACTTACCCGTGCAGAATTAGAATGCAATACATTGTGTCTTTAAAAACACATATGACTAAAATTTGATTTCAAAATGTCTCAAAACAAAATTCATTTCCGGAACATTACGTAGAATGCTAACCATTTTTAGATTACAATGCAGACAACAGTGTGTAAGACAAGAAGAGCTAATTTTTAAGGTTTTTGGACCAAAAAATAGGTAAATATTTGCAGTGATATCACATTGTCTAGTCTTCTCAAGAGTACATCACCACTACAGTAGAGCGAGCAGTCCTTGTGGTTGTTAGTAACAAAGCAATATTTAACTATTTGAATTTATTTTGATTTGAGGATTTGAAATTTACATCATTTTTCCTCAAGGTTACGAGACTGGTTAAAAAACAGTCTACCTTCTTTGATAATAAATCCAAACGAAGAAAGAAATTATGAATTACCTCTCTGCTTTCAGTGATGAAGAGTTTTCAGGAAAATATAACAGTTAATAGTTTTAAAGGGCCCTTTTAGAGCGGATCTGAGGTAACAGACAGCAACATCACAGGCCGGCACATACATCTCGCAGACCGATATGCAAACGAATATATTCGAGAAGGTAGAATAGTATGTAGACAACAAATCGAGATTTCGGAACCTTGCACATCAGTAGAAGGTCTATTACATAGCACAGAAGTAGTATGAAACTTTAAATACGTTTTTCTCAAAACAACGTTTTCAGATAAGGTGGCCACTATATTTTAAAAACCAATCAACAGACTTAAATGAAATTTATACAATATATTCTAGACATTAAAAACTTGTGCCCGATCGAAGAACTTTTTTTAACCAGAACTTCAATTTTATTTTAAACATTTAACGAGCGATTTTTCCCACAAAATAGCCAGTAATAAATCAAATTATTTCTGATATAAACATCACCTACCTTAAGAAATGAAGATCATTGATTTCCTTCATGCACAGCCAGCAAAACTCGGCTCCGCAAACAGTGCACATCATATGGTTGCAGGAGCCATCGTCCATCTTAACGATCAGTACCTGGCACCGAGGGCACGGCTTTATGTCATCCCCTGAAACAAGAATCAACGTTTATTCGGGAAAAGGGAAAAATAAAACAGCTTAATTGCACTTTCGTTAAAAATTTGCCAAATTTTTTCCCCTTTCAGTAGGCACAAATGGAATTTATGGAGCACGTTTATCTGAAATTCAAAAATGGATAGGCCTGCAATTTTTTCTTCTATACCATGTTCTACTAACAAAAGAACCTACAGAGTTTTTGCCTTTTTTTTATTCAAGACATCCGAAAGACTAGAGAGGTCAGACAAAGATGTATATGAGATTGACGTTTTCCAACAAAAACTCTGAATCTATGAAAAGCTTTTTGTGTCAGTTTTCTATTTTTTTAATCAAGACCAAAAAGCATGCCTCAGTAAAAAAAATGTTGGAAGTTTTCCAGATATTCCCATATATCATCGAATTTTTTCCACTCTGCATAGTGAATTTCAATATTTTTCGACGGTTTTATATCCTTCAAAAATACACAAAAAATAGACCTCATGGGTTGAATCTCGAAAAAATTGATTAATGAAAACTGCAATTTGATAGATTGAGAAACAGGATGTTGTTAATTTTTTGCACAATTTCTGTGAAATTCAGTAACTTTTTTATTGGTAAAAAAAGGGACACTACACAGTGTGTTTCAATTTATAAGGTATTCAGGTTATTAACCACGCCACGCGCGCCATTATTCTATGGCTAGAAATTGGCCTCAATGATTTGGGATCGAGGGGGATTATCCCTCTTTATCCTGCCTCATCTCGTGTAGGCCTGGACAGCCTTCGTAAGTGGGCCCCATCCGTCGTCTACCCCGAATGCAAATGCGGCCGGTGTAGGCGATTTGTGGGACCTCCTTTTGTCCTGGCTGGGGGTTATTAACCAATAAGTAAAAAATAAATATATTTTTTTTAAATACAGGGTGTAATCAAAAACATTAACTTTTGTTTAGTAATTTTCTTTAAAAATCTCATTGTTTTTAAAGGTAATATACATATTTTTTTTTTATTTTTTTTTGCCACAGGAACATACCAATACCAATAACCAATACAATTGGACGATGTTGGCACTACCATCTAAATTTAAGAAGGCAACACTAAAACTGTATGAAAATTCTTAATTGCAATATTATTTTAAGAAATTCCAATGAAACATGATAAACAAAATGCTATTTATTAGAAATATTTAATGTAAAAACATTATTTTTTGAATTATTAATTATTATACAGGGTGTCTCATAATTAGTGTCCAATAATTTACCACTTGATTCTATTGCTAAAAATAAGAATATTTTCATATAAACATGGGTCGACAAATGCTTTCTAAGGGAGCTACGCCCTCTTAAATGGGGTCTCAAAAAATCAATTTTTTTTAAATATTTCCGAAATGGCTTGAAGGAAAATTATGAATTTTGACATAGTGAACGCTCATTAAAAGTCGAAATAGATCATAAAATTTTTCAAAAATTTTAGTCAAAGGCGTCTCAATCCGTTTTTGTTGGAAATGGAGCATTTTATTGAAAGAAATAAAGAGTACCTTTTTTGTATAGAAAATGAAGGTCTATCATATGTTGACCTCTGAATCTAAAAATTTCGACAAGCAAAAAATGGGACAAATTTTAGGCGACGACCCCCCCAATTTCATAATTTTCCTTCAACCCATTTCAGAAATATTTTTAAAAAATTAATTTTTTAAGGCCCCAATTATGGGGGCATAACTCCCTTAAGAAGCATTTCTTGACCAATGTTTATATGAAAAAACATTCTTATTTTTGGCAATAGAATCAAGTGGTAAATTATTGGATACTAATTATGAGACACAATGTATACTAAATGACAAGAAAAGAGTAAATTGTCTATGCAAAAGTGCAAATTACCCATTTTTTAAAACTAAAAAAAAAAATACATATGCAAAAAAAAATAAATTTAATTAAAATGAAAAAGATACAAGGAATTTTCACATACTTAAATTTGTTCATAGACTTCAAAAATGAACACATCGTTATAAGGGGCATTTTGAGCAATTTAGAATAAGGTGATTTTATTAGATTTCAGATAAAAAAATCTTCTATTCATTAAAAAATTGGCACAAAAAAATTGTAGTGTACTCATGATTTACAATTTTAACGAAGTTATGGTTTCCATATATGTGTATTCTTAGAATGTACTCAAGAATAAATATTTGCACTTCATTTGTTTTTCAATTATTATCGCATCACCCTCGTATGTTATTCGATTTATGAAACCTACTTAATGTGTCTCGTACCACAAAACAATTCATTGTGCTACAGAAACAAATGCTTTTATTGAAAATTACATTTTTAATGGTACTTACTATGCTGTGAATCCTGACTGTAAGTGATCGACGACGACCTGATGTTGGGCGACCTCTGCGCCCTGGCGGCGTCGCACGTCTGATTGGGGTGCCACTCGGCCTTGCAGTGGTAACAGAAGTAAGAATCACACCCTGGCCTCTCGCACTTCAACTTTGGACAACTGGCGCATTCACTGGCTATCACAGCAAAACAACAGTCGGGGGCCGGGCACCACCTGGTGTCCGGATCGACCGCCAACACTCTCCTCACCATGAAGTCTTCGTACTTCTCGAACAGGGCGGGGTTGTCCAAAACCGTACGAATCTCTGAAAAAAAGAACTTTCAATGTACCAAGTTCGTTTCTATAGAGACTGCACTACAAATTCAAATTTTTGTAAATACAAATCAATGTTTTGAAAATCAAATTCACTGTGATACTAAAACGTCATCATTACAAATAAATACACATACAGTCCATACAATATTTGTTGAGATATAATTCCAAGAAACGAATAAGCCAATAAAGTTCTGTTAACGGAACACTGTAACAATTTACTGTGGCATGCATTCAAATTTTCCGCCAATGTCTTTCTACCTTGAGTGTTGCGGTTAATTCCAAGACAGTGACGCAGGGGACGAGAAATATTCTTTCACTATTTATTCTAGTACACTTTTTTGATAAGAGATTACCAAAAGCCTGATTAAGTATGTCTCAACTTTTCAAATGTAGCCAATAAATATGGATTTTCTACTCCAAATTAAATGTTTTGTAAATCAAATTCAACATTTTGCAAATCAAATTCACTCGTCTGTAAATCAAATTCAACCTGTTTAGACTAAAACATGGATATTACAAATACACCTTCCACCATTTATTTCAGTAGGTTTTTTTGATACGGCTTATCAAAAGTCTGAATAACTATGTCTCAACTTTCCAAATGTAGACTAAAGGGTACAGATTTTGCCATCCAAATTAAACTCTTTGCAAATCAAGTTCACCTGCTTGTAAACCAAGTTCAACCTTTTGCAAATCGTTCCGATTTGCAAAAGGGTAAATTTTATTTGCAAAACGGTGAATTTGGTTTGCAAAAGTTGAGTATAGAATGAAAACCTGTTTCTTTATTAGCTGTGTTAGAAAATTTTAGATTACACATGAAGACTTTTGCTAAGCTGACTCCAAAAAATCTTTTGGAACAAAAGGTGGAAGATAATTGGTTCTTTCAAGTATACATCTTTGCAATATATTAAAATCCATCTATTAATCCCATCTGGATCAATTTGATTTCCAAAAGAAAATTTGATTTGCATAAGGTTGAATTTGATTGCAAACTGTAAATTTGATTTGCAAGAGATTGAATTTGGCGTGTACAAGCTATGTCAATATTAGATCCTTTACAAGAGCTCATATATACATCCAAAGCCTTTTGGTAGGTTATTTCGAGATTGTCTATTAGAACAAGGCTTTAATCCCAACAGGGTGAATTTGATTTGTAAAAGAATTGAATTTGAGATGAAAAACCTGTAGCTAGGTTGTTGATAATTTGATATATTTGTTTATTCTTTTATTCTGTAAGAGACAGGAAAGTTAGACCAATTTTAACGGAGTAACTGATTTTTTTTTGTAGCAATTAAATAGTCAGTAAAATTGAAATGTAGACAGTTGAATTTGATTTACAAGATTGAATTTGCTTTGCAAAAGAGTGAAATTGATTTTCCAAAGACTAATTTTGATGTGCAAATGGGTGAATGAAATTTATAAAAAAAAAGATTCGGAGTGCAAAACCTTACACAAAAAAATGGCAAAATTATATGGCACACCATTGTGCTCAAAATTATCACTTTAAATAAGAGAATTTTCCCATTTCATGATACATTTTAAGAAATGAACTATTAAAAATGATTGAAAATTTGTTAAAAATAGTAATAGCGTCATTTTAGCCTTCATCTGAATACTGTCCACAGATATTGGAGGCGTGCAAATATTTTCAGCAAACACAACGTGATGGAAATAACACTGTGATTAATTTATGACAATTTTAGCTAGACAAATACAAAATAAGTAAAAGTTGTACGTGACTTCAAGCATTTAAAGGTCAAATAACTACTTATAAATAGAAACTAACGTTTGCATTCTGCACTACACTATATTGCAACTGCAAGTGAAAAACATTACAGAGAAGTCAAATATTTAGTTGACGATTTAATGAAAGTAAATCGAATTTATACGATATTTTGTAATATACAAAATTTTTTATTATTATTATTACCACCATTCCCAGAAATGCCTTTAACACAATTAAAAATTGGTTTAAAAAATATAGGAAGATACACCATTGAAAAAACAAGTCATAACATCATCAAGTATATATTTAGAATTCTTAGGAAAGATTTTATCACCATACATTTGCTTACAAACATAAATTTGGGAATTTAAGCGGTTTATTTTTACGGATAATTAAGTGACTCTACACTAAAACCGTAAAAACCTACTTTACTGAATTAAATACCTATTTTATGATTACCTACAAATTTCTAGACTGAAGTATGATAAAAAAAACTTCAACATCGATTATACTCACCATTAGGGTGCATGGGTTCCAAGCATTCCGGGCAAGATATACACACTCGCGACTCTGTAATCTCCACACGTAAATATTGCTGGAAACAACATATGCACGCCCTATGGCCGCATCCTGCCAACTCGCAAAAGTCCTCTGGGGTCAGTTCGGCCAGGCACAAAGGACATTCCATCGAGGACGGTGCGGCTTCTCCACTCTACAATAAAACAAAATAATAATTCAGTTTCCAATGTTAAAGTTGTAGTATTTCTTTTAAGCTAGGGTTTTTATGCGCAATTTTCAGTGAATTTATAGCAGTCATTTAACGATGTTTATGATTACATTTCCTGAACTTTACATGCCTACAGAAAATCACATACGGTACTACAAACATAATCACACCCCACATAATGCTTTCTTGAAACTATTAACAAATGAATTAATCATAATTATTGTGTATTTTTACAAGATTCTCTATGAACCAGAAAAGGTACATTCCGATGTTTACATGGATACCGAAAAATTTATGAAATCCTGGTATTTCAACATTTTTATGGTTTAGATAAATTTTCTTGTTCTACGGACGACATGGACCTCGATAAAGTAAGCAAAGATCTTTGAAATAATTCGAATACAACCATGTGAAAAATTTTATGTCATATCATATAATAATAGCCGAAAATCGAACAAAAAATTTAGGAATTAGTTACATTATCAAAGCATAGTAATTGTATTTTTAATTTATATTATACCAGTAATTCACATACAAAATCATGACTTAGTGATTTGAATTTTAAACAATATGCTTCAAAATTTAGATGTTTAAAATTGCCCAAATTTACAGTAGCAATGAATAAATTGTTGTGATATTAATACACGGTGAGTATCGCCAAAATGCTACCATAGCATCGCAATCATATGCCAAGAATTTTCAATTACTGTTTCATTTCGCAGCTTGTAAGTGTTTTTATGTTGTAGAAAGGATTATCGAAAAATCGTGGTAGGCATGCTGGAAGACTTAAGTCACTTAAAATACTGCATGTCGAAGAAGTTGAAGCCCTAATGCCTAAAGATCATCCTAAAAGAGTACAAAAGCAACTTCTACTCTTATAATGGGATAAATAATTTCCAAAATAGGCATTTATGAGCTATGCAGTCACACATTAAACACATTTTCAACAGAAATTTTCTTTAAATATTTATTATATTATTATTAACTGTATGCTTCTTCGCCTTTTATGGTTCACAAAGTCTACATTTTCTGCAAATTAAAGTACTTTAACTGCTTAAGGATAATTTTATTGAACGAAGAAGCTTATTTTTTTTAAGTTTGGATATAGTATCTATTTAATAAATTTCTGTCACTTCTAAACAGCATGTAATATAAATAAAGTTAGTTTTTCATTTTTATTAATTATAGAAAAAAATGTTATTTGAAAATTGTTCTTTAATTTTTTTTTAAGTTCCAAATTCCACTTTAAAAAAACACTTTATAGAGTATTGTAAAAGTAATTAAAAGAACCAGAGTTCTTTTTCAAACAACATAAAATGAATGTGATAATTTATGTTATAAATGAAAAATATTCTATATACAAAGGTTTCAGAAAAAATAATACTTTTATGCATAAATTTTTTTCTCTGCAACAAAATTTTATCTCGAATTGGTAACCTACTGTGCAAAATAAAAATCTATACAGCAAACTTTCAACAAGATTCTCTGATAATTTTTTGATGTTTAGCATGAGGTTTCAATATGGCATTCGATAAGGACATGAATTATAATGCTGCCAGATTAGAAAAGCAAAATGAACCCAATACAACAATATATATTAATCCAACATACTGGCAGCAATAAAAATAAAATACAAAAATAGAACATATCATAAAGATATAGAATCACCACCGATAAAACAAGTTCTCGGAATTATTTAATTCACCTAATACACATCTGATTCTCCTATTTTAAAAAATATATATAAGCATTGACAATTATTTATGCTAATGCCATATCATAACTACAGCATTGAATAACAAGGAAAAGTCATTGCAAATCGAAATTTATTTTATTTCAGGATTCTATTAGAGAAAAAAAATGTTATCTGAGATAACTACTGTGTTTATAAATAATTTAGAAGTGATTAACACATGAAATGTTACTAAAAATATTCCTAGATTGTCTATATGAAATTGTTCAACAAAATATTACGTAATAATGATTTCTCAATCGATTTATCTTAAGAAACAAAATGTTTATATCATACGGATTTCAAGGCATAATGCATTTGGCAATTAAGATAATTCTGATCCCAAAATAAATAAAACGGGTAGTCATTTTATATGAAATTGTATAATAAATAATGTAATGTGAAGAAATTTAGTTTGAATCTTATCTAAAAGATGTTGATAAGTAAAACTCGATTCATATTACTTGTTTAAGAAATTCAGAAGGTTCTCAAAAATAAATGTTGTATTTGTCAAAAAGAAAAGTCGTATGAAAACTTACTGTGTGAAAGCGTGAAACTTCAGTCTCTCAAAAATAAACTATTACTCAATTAACCTTGCTAAGAATTTTCACTGGTCTCCCAACACCTTTCCACTGACTCTGACTGAAATATTCGACTTGTCAACATTTTTGTAAGATATGTTATCCAGTCCAAGGAACAGAATCACAACTTATGACTCACAAGACATGCATGTAATAATAAAGCGCATAATTAAGTAACATATTAGATAAAACTATCTGAAATTCCTGTTTCTGACAATCAATTGCCCCTTATCAAAAAAAAATGATTCTAACTTTAACTGTTTTCAAAGTATGCAACTATTTAAATTATTTAAAAAGTTGGAAAAGAGGATGAACAATCATGCGTATCGAAGCTTGCCACAGCAAACAGAGAGAAATAATTTTCCAATATGAAGGAAAGGAACTAATTGAAACTTATATAAAGCTATAGATATAAGAGAATGACTACCTGTGTTAAGTTGCCACCCGATCATAAAACAAGCAGGTAGTCTACAAAGGTCCACACTGAATTTTATTGAGATGACATTTTGTACAGAAAGGCAAGTACATCAGGTTATTTGCATACATATACATCCTGTATTACCGTTTTTGTATCTTTTCAACCACGACGTTTATTTTATATATGTACTGCGGTAAACTGCATTGAAGATTACAACGTCCTGTATATTTTTAGCAACCAATGATTATGCATTCAACCATCCTCAGATTCAACATGTGTTCTTGTTATACTTTCTTTTTGTCTAATTGTTCCAAATATGCTCAGTAAATTCATTTGCTGTATAATCCCCTGGACAATTGAATTTTATGATGTGGGGTACATGAACTTAAGTCGATGCAGATAGTCACTCTCTTAAATCTATGAATGTACTTTAACGGACAGGGTCCCTTACCTTTGTACTTGCTGTAAACACTGAAGTTCGACTAGTTGCCTGATGGATTTCCACAGGATGTTGTCGATCATGTTCTCTGGAAGAGCTACCAACTTTACTGTCTGGCACATCCTTAGCTGCAAGAAAAAACTAATATTACTTATAAATTAATGAATAAGGTGTACATACAAACAAAATTTAAAAAATGCCATTACTTAGTTGCACACAAGATAAAAACTGAATTAATAGTTAAATGCCAACATTCTTCTTACCTAAAACGTGCATAAAAAATAACATTTTGCAACTAAATTCTACAATATTCAATGAAAAATTGAATGAATTACTTCAGATTATCATTATTATTATTTTTTTGCCAAAGATAAATGTTCCTATCATTATTGTTATCATACTCGAACTGCAGCAAAGATTTGAATCGCGTTTCAGATACTAAATGATAAATGATATAATAAAAATATAGCGAATTACTCAAAATAAAATTCCCAGTTCTAGTGGTTCAAAGTGCAACTGTGGAGGTTTGAACGTGGTTTTGCAACAAAACGCGGATGTATTTGCTACATTAAAAATTCTAATGACAATGCCACCGTTAACTGTTTTATTTTGTTGCGGGAATTTTTACTTCAAACATAAGCTCGCGGTTGTTTCGATAAGTGAGAGAAACTCGGGAATTGCCGCATTCCCAAGGCTTTCCTTTTGTTTAAGTTAAGTGATAAGATAATGCTTAAAAAAACCATCATTGGCATCATAACCTTCAATTACTGTTAGTTATTAAAGGCCTTTGAATACTAAAGACAAGTGCATAGGATAAAAAAAATATTCCATTTACTAATGTGAAATTTTATTACACAATAAAAGCGCTAATCCATCAAGACTCTTCAAGAAATCAATTAAGAAACTAAAATTAAAAATAAAAAAACTGAATGTGATATTTCGCAAATAATTACCGGATGAACACGTTCAGTTTTTATTTTTTCCAACTCTGTTTTAATGAACAATGAATGAATGCGCCATAAAAAATAATGGATAAGATAAAACTGTAAAACGTCACAGTTGATAAAGACGACTGATGATGAGTCACTTCCCATCTATTAGAATTATCCATGATAATTGCAACTATAAAATGAATTTACAGTGTTTCTAGATTAAATATTTCAACAATTAGCTATAAAAATTATTGTTACGATGATTTTCTGTAATAATTTGTTTAAAGGAATTTAATTATTTATTACTCTGCTGCATTCTAGAAATAATTAATTTTAATTGTAGTAAATACATTACAGACATTTCTTTCTCTCTAATGTAAAAAAGAATAAATATTATTTTTTCAACATAAATTACAAATAAAAGTGCTGAAGAAACTTTTACTGTTTGGTTTTTTTTTTCTCCTATATTTGAAACGACGAATTCTTTAATATAGGTACGTTGTTTTCATATCAAAACTACAGCAGGACTCGAAATTGACTAGAAAACGGGGAAATGTAGAATAATTATAATAGCTAAGTTTTTAAATTGTTTTTCAAAATATATATTATAAGAACTCATAAATAAATAACTAATTAATTTTCCAAGAAATATAAAATGCAAGAATCCTCTCTTTATGCAACCAGTTTCAAATCAACCAAGGTTATTCGAAAAGTCAACAATATTACATTGTAAGAATTGCTTCACAGATATTATGAGAAAACACAAATATATACGTTCCAAGGGCATAATGTTTACTTCACTGGAAGTGGTTATTTTTTTTAGAATTTATTGTGTACGTTGAACATTTAATTGAAACATATATTTTTTCTTACGCATACAAAACGAAATGAGATCCTCGAAGCAAATAAAGAGCCATATTTTAGGATATTTTTTTTCAAGTTAACTTTTCAGATATTTTTAAAGTTTATGTAAAATAACAAATAGATCTGATTCAGAAAGTGGAAAAAATGGGTTAATAGTTACTTTGGTTAAATTTTTTAATTAATACAGGAGAGACGCAAAAAAATCATACTATTAGTTACTTAAACACTGATTTTTCAAGGAAGTTCCAAACTAATATATTTTGTCCTGCTTAAAAAATAAACGCATAACATATACATATCTACATAAACATCTGTTTAAAAAAACGGTTCCATCACTAATTCATTACAGTCACAGGTATAATTTTAAAACTTTTACTTCACTTTTATGTAAGTCCCTCATTCCTTTAGGTTATTGATTTCATTCATTATCCTATAAACGTTGTATTTCAAGGTTACAAAAAAATGTAAATATATTTATAAACATTTATCTATTATATGATATCGAGAATCCATTTACCTGTCTGGAGTATTTTTTCAGTTATATGACTATGGCAGAGGATCATTTCTGATTCAACTTTGTTTTATTATTAATACGCCTTATTTGTTTTTAATTTTTATAGCCAACGATGTTCTTCATCACTATCCATGCAATTTTCGGAAAACTAAACTATACGTAAAACAATTTTAAGTAGGTACATACTTTCTTGGTTCAAGTAGTTCGATTTTTCCGTAAACTCAAAAATGTGTGTAACTGATCAGAAATACGAATTAAACTGGACTCACATTTTATTTTAATTTACACTGAAAATAAAAACGTAATACTTCTATTCTATAAAAAAACTAAAAGCTGTATGCATTTCCATGTGTTAGTTTAAAAAAAAATAGATCATGCATGCAAATTAATGCATCTGATATGTTGCACTATACTATATAGAAAATCATGATAACGCTTTACCATGTTTACATATTTATGCAATAATTGTAGAAGACAATATTTTGTGCTAAATAATTTAACAATAAAAAAACTAAAACAACATTTTTAAATATTTTATAACATTAGAATATCAACAATTTAAAATTATGCATGCGCACGAGTATGTTCAATTAACTTGGTCTATTAAAATAACAATAAAAAATAATTAAAAGCTTCAATTACGTTTTCCATTAGATTTTACAACCCTTGACCTTATCACCGTCAGTGGCGTGAAGCTGACGTTGCATTATTTCCGCGTGTTGCTAGAATAAGAATTCTGGCAGTATTTCATTTTTTCCCCAAAGGTTAAATGTATTGGTAAAGATAGAGGAACTTGATTTTGATCTGTAAATATAGACTTTTATCTTTGGATGAGAATGAATGATTAATGTTAACAACAAAGTGTTATTCCGTTAATATAGGTCGAACATAATGTTTACATAAAAAAACGTACAAAAAAGCCATGATTTGAGTTTCACAGAATTGATCAATTTAATTGCGAAAAATCTTTTTTAAATGATACAATTTTATAACCCTCACATATGAAACTATGGCGACAATTTACATGAAAAGAACTATTTAAGTATGTGTAAAACTATATCTAATTGAATTTCTGTCAGTGTTTTTTTTCTAATTTTATTTTCAAACTGACCTGAAATAGTGCGGAAAAGGTGGTTACACGCGCTTGAAATCTACAATTACACGAACATTTCTGCATACATTGTCTTTATAATCGTGACTTGATATTAAAGTAAAAAAAAAGTGTAAAGTGAAACAGACAAAAAATTACTAGGCTCTGAAATTACCTGATACTAAATAATTCCATGGAAAAAAAACGAATAACTATTCCGACATACAAAATCAAGATTTCTCAAAATGTTGCATATACATTACTCAACAAAACTTGTTTGAAACTAAATTGTAAAGATTCAGTTCGACTTTCAAAAGATGTTACGGTTTTTTTTTTGAACTAAGAAAAAAGATCATTTACAAAATTCTTAATTTAGTTTCGAGAAACATTATTCTCTGACGAAATGAGGTATAACTGTTACTGATTGAAACGAAATTTGAAGTAAATTAAGACTAATATCAAATAATATATTCCTGGAAGGGCTAGTGTATTACAGAAATTGCTGTATAGGAAGGAATTGATTAGTAATATAATAAATGTATGACATGACCGTACGATTTCTATGATAAAATCTGCAATAATAATAATAAATAATAAAAATAACAGCAACAATAAAAATACATCTGCACTTTTTATTGTGTAGATAACAATTTTATGAACCTAAGCAATAATTTATAAAAGCAGCTCATATATAAAAAAATCAATATATTCTACAATATTCACACTAAACGAGTGAAAATATAGAATAGAAAATAATCCTGTGAATAGGTATATATTTACGCATACGATTTCAAGATATAATTAAAAAAAGTTAGAAGTACCTACTACAAACAGCACAAAATAATTGTCCAAATCAAAATAAGAGTTTTTTTAAATTTTGGAATTAAGTATTAAATTAACTACACTGTAAAAAAAATCGGTGTGTGTGAAAGCAATAACGGTACGGATTAAATTCATTGAGTGAAATTATTGAGTACATTTTCACTCAATATTGAGCATTTTGATAATTTTACTCATTTGTGATAATATTTGAACTATAACTGAGTACATTAACTCAAATATAGAACCCCTTAAATAAATTCTGCAGATAAACTCGTTTTTGATACCTGCACTTGCAGCTAAATCGGAGTACCTAAATGTTGTCATTATTGAGTGACCCCACCCCATTCTATGGTTGTCGTGCGTTGTCTTTGTCTATTCCCATCGACCTCAATAGGTCATCTCGTGGCGTGGTGTATGGCGTGTGGTGCTGGACAAGTAGTGTCCCTTAATCCGGTTATTTTGGTGAAAATTATGTTTAAATGCAGTGGTTTGATTCCAATAATTAAAAACAGTAATAAATTGAGTCTCGATTAATATTTGGTTAAATAAACGGATAGTTAAATTGTTATCTATACTTACTTACGTATCTGTAACGTACACTATAGGTTCTGGTAATCTATTCGTCCGATGAGTTAACCAATTCCTAATCGAGACCGAAGATATCGTCTCTAAAACAGATCTGTGTAGAAACCACTGTGGCAGCTTAGTAGCTTATGACTTTAATATAATGATATTTAAATTCAAATTTAAAGAGAACGCAAAGTTGTGCAAAAGACAAAAGTAATGAGCATCGGCTTCCTGCACTTGTGGTTGTTTCGTTACTTGTGTTCCCGTAGTTTCGAAATTTATTAATTTGTAATTGCATTGTGATTGTCTTTGTTTAAAGTCAGTGTTTATAGCAAGGGCGTCGCCAAGAGGCAGCTGCCACCAAGATTCATGAATTGTTGTTTGAAAAATTAATAGTCTTAAATTTGACCAATGAATTGATCAACTTATTGGGAAACAAAATCGTTAAACATAACACATTTGTAATAACCAACTTACCGTCTTTCTTATGTGACTTCGACGACCCCGACGAGTTCTGGCTACGCCTCCTGTTCAAGATGGGACTAGAGTAAATGAGGTGGCGGAGAGACCACCTGGGGAATCTTTTCTTGCGCTGGCCAGCAACGCAAGGTGGAACGTCATTTTCTATTGAGCTGCGCATCTTACAGATCTTTCAACTATGTTCGGTGGACCGTCTTATGTGAAAAAAATGGCCTTTAAATGTTAAGAGTGGCCGGAAGAATCATCGTTCTGGGTATTGTAGAGTATATAAGGTCCTGCAAAAAAAAAATCAATTGTTACTTCATTGAAAAAATATATCCTGCAGAATCATTTCTAGAGCTTTCTCTTAATTCCAAGTAATGCAAGAATATTAAATATGAATTTCAATTTTGAACAAGTGAATATATAGCTGTAAAAGCTTTACTTTTAAGTTTAAGTTTGTCTCTAAAGTAAATAATTGTCCAGTGACGCACATATGAGAGATTCCTAATCTATGAAATTCCTACACAGGGAAAATAATTTGAATCGCACGAAAACTTTGATATTTTTACGCAAAAAATTCTAAGAAGACTTTCTTGAAATTAACCGCGTTGGACATTGTTGGAAAATTTCAACGCACGCCCCTGCCGCCCGTATTCAACACCCGAGGTAGAAATTTATTGGCGGAAAATTTCAAGGCACGCCCCTATCGCGGTAAATTGTTACAGTAGTTCCGATAATTTTCTTGGAATCTCAACAAATATTGGACGGACTGTGGTATCTTTGTTTATGGCTGCTATTTTTTTATTACAATGTTTCGATGGTAATAATGACATTGGCTACTTCAAAACAAGCAGTTTAGTTAGGATTTTTGCTTGGGTTGGACCCAGGGCTGCTACAAGCTCTATGCAGTCCCCAAGAAAAGAAAATGCAATCAATGACTTACCCACTTACCGATACAATATTTCAAAACGTAAGCACTTTTTTGTTTGATTCTGACAAAAAAAGTGGCGCAGAGAGCGATTTATCGATGTGAGAAAAATGATATTGGATCTTTTTTCTGTGTACAAGGCCCAGCCCTGCTACCCCCTAGCTACGCCCATGAAGGTAAGTATATAAAATATATATAATAAATGATCAAACTAAGAAATAATCATTAGACAAATGAATTACTTCTGTGGGTGTTACTCAAGTCATTATTATCTTTCGAGACCTGTAATTCAAAAATGGATGTCATTTTTAGATAGCATAATAAAAAAAGTCATCTTTTGCTTCACGTCTGAGAAATTTGGAACCCAGAATAAAATCCAAATTATTTTCACTTTCTTAAAAGTTACATATATTTCCCATTATCGACGCCACTGAATTGTTCTGTGATAACTTTTATCGAAAAGTGTAGTTTAATGGCCTTATTACATGACCAAAGAATTTTTGTTCGTTTCCGAGCTATTGTCATTGTACTTTTATGAACAATTCTGCTTTTTCCGTCAACGTTAATAATTTGGCCTCATTGTAGTAGCAGAAATAGGCTAAATCTGTGGTCAGGCCATGTGCTCCTTTATGCTCACGATACACAATGCTACTGACTGCCATAAAAACACGTGCCATACATTCGACCAAGCAAAGCACCAAATTCACTCACTCACGTAGAAACGACCATGAAATACACGGCCAACGTCTCTCATCAAAAAACAGGTATTGGCCGACAGGGCAGGCATTAGGGTGCCGCTAGATACACATCGAATAAATTGAGCGATGCGAAGCTTCAGATCAGAGGCAGGCATGTATAAATGTGAAAATATACATCGTGTTCATGCAAAACTACAGTTTGTGTTGGATAATAATCCTGGTTATTGTACAATGACGCGGATAGTGAGATTACTAAAATCTGAAATAGTGAATGCTTCGCCACCATTACTAAATATAGCATCTATTAAAAACTTCGAGTATTTTAGACTTCGGTAAATGTTGAACGGTCATTTTCGTTTTTGAAATGGGTATTTTAAATTTCAATAATTTGTAATTTATCTAATAAATATTGGGTATTGGAAAAACCACCCTTAATTAAATATAATTAATATTCTAGTCGATTTAAGTCTTCGAAGTTTGTGTATTCCTTCTATTATCAAGCACTTTGTCATCATTCATCAATATTAACATTTAAAACAATATGATATAAATCACATCGCCTGACTACATTATAATGACCTACTAAAATCTGCACTAACAATAATTACTATTGCTACAACATTTTAATGGTCACAATCAAGCTATCATTGCAAGTTACGCAAGGAAAAAGATATTGCTCCGGTAAGTCCAAGTACCTACCTATCTAAAAGTAATTTTCTTTAAATTTTCAAATAAATATTCAATCGGATATCAATTTCCTCTTTAACTTTAGAAACGTCACGTGTCTGATCAACATTCTTCGAGTTTTACACGATGTTGAGTTCGTGTCTACTTGCTTTTAAAAAGATGGAAGAAAAAATCGTGCCGTAAATTAGTAGGTCATTAATTAATTTGTAGAGCATTTAAAATGAGAACCATTAAGATTTCTTATCACTATAGCAGCACGCCTTTTGATAAATACTGAAATCAATTATTGGAGTTCTTTACTATAAAATAAATTCATGCTTCCTTTGAATTATTTACTTCTTTTGTAAAGACAAATGAATAGAGGTATTATAAATTTAGCAATTTTAAATAACGAACAAGATAAGCCTTCACTCTAGAAATGAGGCAAAAGTTAGTTTTGTATATTTTAATGTAAGTTTAAATTGCTATCTAAACTTTATAATACTTACAATTTTAATTTAAACAGGCCTTTTCCAACTTTTCCTTTAATAAGAAAATTTGATTAAGTAATAAACCTGAGTGACTCAAAGTTTGAAGACAGATTTCAGGATCTTACAGAAAACGGATAAATTATCTTCTAAAATTAACCAGCAATGCACAAAGTCAAACTTTCAAATGAATTGTAGTACATAGTTTCATATATAGGTATTCCAAATATTCAACGTTTTATTAAAATTTTTAGAAATACGTAAATATATTTTTTTTCCGTATAAGAGATTCCGCAATTAAATTTTCACGTAAATTTCCAGAAAACTGTCGATAATTATTCTCACTACACTTATTATTATGCTTAATACTACTAATACATTCACGGAACTTCCTAGAAATTTTAAAATTCATTGTTGAATATAAATTTAAGGATGTGGCTGGAAATGTAGATATATTACACAATGTATACATGCGCAGATCGAACAATGTGAAATGTTTTGACGAATATTTGAAAAGATCCTGAGTCCTGACTCATAAGGTTATCATGCAATGCAGCGGATTTTTCACAGGAAACAGTCCGCGAATAGTAACCGATCGTTATCAATGCAAAATTGCATAAACGTTGGTTGTGAGTTATTGATTCTTTAAAATATTTCAATAAAAATTACATTTCATTTCGGTTTTAGTTTCCAGTTCAATTAGAATATCTCTCGTACAAAAAAATTACAGTACACATAAATTTTACCGATCTTTTGATTATCGCATGTCGTAAGTACTATAAAAGGTGTAGTTACATTTTTGTGTCGCAAATGCAATACATGTTTGGCTTTAATTCCACAGTTACCTAATAAAGATTTCTTACATCGTTTTGGTACATTAAGCCAGGAAGCCAAGTGACAAGTGACCCAAATTTAGCAGTTTCTCATGGCTATTTAAAACCCGTTTTTAAAAATTCATAACAGATTTCACGTGAGTGCGTTAAGGAAATTAACCATTATGTTTCTTTTAATTTATTTTATGTGTCAATACAAGAACGTAATAATAATGGTAATTTGCAAGTAGAGGAAGTTCTGTTCAGATTCGTTCATCCTGTGTACGACGAAGGATGTAGGTATAAATGTATACAAGGTCTGCGAAATATTTGTAGGTAGAGTAGGGATTAAATTTTCTCTTCAAAATAACACTTCTTAAAGTAAACATTTATGTAAATAAATAATGAAGCCTCAAAATCAATTAACTTAATTATTCTCAATATCATTAAATGACCCAAGGTCAATTTCTTGATTATTTTGTTTGTCAATTATTAGGAAACTTTCTTTTCGGTATTATATAAATTAATAAATTTCGACGCATATTTTATGCATTAAATATGTAACAAATATTTAGGAAATACTAATTCAACATTTATTTTATGTAATTTCACTCTCAACTGTAAGTGTAATTTTTCCATTGAAACCCACAACATAATTTATGACAATATCAAAAACGTTATATCAGGACAACTTAACGCTGGTAAATAAAATATGTTGTAAATTTAATATTTTTGGAATATCCCTAAAAAGCTGTAAACAACTGTCGCCTTCGTTTTAATCGTTACTACTAAAGAGGATATAACAATTATAATAACAACAAATGGAAAGAAAACAAAAATACCACTCCATTAGCACCGGTTACTGTTTTATTGGAAGCTTATCTATCATTATCAGACCACTACGCCTACGGGGCAAAAATATCGCACACTAGTATATCGCATGTGGGACAATTATAATAGCGCTGCGGTAATAAACTGAAGGATTAATACAGCTGTCATATCGATTAATTAATGTGTCAATGAACAGGCACCGAAAACGTTTACCCACGTTACTTCAGAGACAGTTTATATTTAGAATATTAATTCATTCATGAAAGACATAATTCAAGATGTCTGAATGACGGATATACCTATCGGATTCTTCATTAACAGAATTGAAAACCGTACATATACAATAATTGTAATTACATGCAGAAAATTTTAAATTACGGAAAATCCATTCTAAAAACACGTGATTTTGGTGATAAAATAATTTAAATCTTGATAGACGTTTTTGTTCAACAAGGAATTTCCAACGGAAGTACAAATTGATTAGCAGTAATGTGCTTCTCCTCAGTTATAGAGGGTGTACCAAAATTACTATAAATATTAGGATTTACTAGATTAAAAAATAAGATTTTTTGTAGGAATTATGAATCTCGTTCTCCAGACACAGCGTAAGTTAATATTTGTAGGCAAATGTTAGGTTAGGTTCTAAATGCCTATACTTTTAAATAACGTATATGCTGCAAATTCGGAATACTTTAGGACAAAATTGTAAAAAAATTATTATTATTACCCATCTCCAACTAACAAAAAGTATTTTCTTATAAATCCAGAAAAAAAGGTGTGTTTGTAGTAGAAAGCAGTGAACGAATTATATTACAATATTTTTATTAAACATAATTTATCACAATAAATATATCTGACCATGACCTACTT